AAATTGAACCTATTCCTTAAAAAAGTTAAAAAAAATTTTAAAAAAAAATCGCTTGCAAGGCTTAAAGAAATGGGGCTTCTCATAAACCAAATAAGCCAACAAAGAAATGGGGTTTCTCAGAAACCAAATAATCACCATATTGCTAAGTGTACCAGCTCTTTAGGTCAACCAACACAGGAGGAAATATGTGTTTAGGAAGGGAAACTTAGGCATCAAAGAGTGGTGCAACAATGGCGATTAACAAGAAGTAAACGAAAAAAAGCAAGTCCAATAGCTTAACAAAAGCACCCATTTTGATCTTCGTCTCTTTGCAGCAATAGAGGCAGGTACCAAACAGTTCAGCTAATTTTTTGAGAAAAACACTGCAGGGGCAGCTTAATTTGTTAAGGAAAAAAGAAAAAAAAAATTGAACGAAATCGCTGCCCCAGCAGTGATTTTTATGTTTTTTAGCGGAGTAACAGGATCAAATTTGTCATAAGGAAATCGCTCCGTCAGAAGCGATTTTACCCTTTTGGTTAAAAAAATACTCCAATTGATATGCCCTTTTGAAATTTTTGACAATTTTCTTTACCCTTTTGAATTCGGACTCAGATTATCATATAAGAAGTTGAAATATTGACTTTTTCTTATTTCAATGCATGTTCCACACATATTCATGTCCATTTTCATAAATAATAATAATAATAATAATAATAATAATAATAATAATAATAATAATAATGAATTTTGGTTATTTGTTTTTGATATATTTCTCATATTGCACTTTTATCGAAAAGAATCGATAAAAAGTTAAATTATCAACTAATTTAAAGTAACTGAAAATTTATAATTACAAGAGAAAGAATTATAGCTATAAAAATTGTTATTCTTTTAGATACATGATTCTAAAGATTTAAATCTCAAATCAATACTGAAGATTAGGCGAAAAAAACCTGGAAGGAATATCAAACCTATTTCACTCGCTAAGTCTATCAGAAGATTTAAATGAATAGCATCAATGCTAAGAACAATCGCAATTCAATAACTTGAAAAAAGAAAGTCGAAATATTGATAAAGTGAACCTTTCTTTTTGAAAAAAAAATGGGACCATCTTTTTGAACATTTACTCCTAGTGAAATTAAAGCCTTTAATTACCACTTAGCTAGCTACAAAGTGATTAATTAACTAGTTGTACAAGTTTACAATGCTTAACTTGATTTAAAAAACGTCTTAAAAGTTTCTTTATCCAACTTGTTAATCTAGAAGTCTCTATGTGTGTCTATTATTCTTCAATAAAGCTCAACATAAGTATTTTAAAAAAAACTTTCTCAAGAATTAAATTTTCATTTTTTATTTTATTATAATTTAGAAGTGACACCATTAGAATTTCTCAATGGTGTTTGTAACAAATCTGAATTGCTCACTATATTGATAAGAGAATTGAAATGCGATTACAATTTTAGAATTGTAATTGCAATAGCCAAACTACTGAATTACATGGAAATATGAAAATAACAAGTAACTAAGATAGAGATAAAAGTTAAGATGAGAAGCTTAGACTCTAGAAGAAGAAGCGAGAAACAAACGTTTTTCTTTAATATGCCTAATCCCTATATCATTGACCACTACCCCATTTAATGAAACCGTTTTCACACCCACTACTCGACCTGGATCTCAAATTAGCTTGGACCTATTGCTTGCTCTCAGTCCAATAGCTCTTGTCAGCCCAATAACTACTTGTGTGACCTTGGTATCCATATTTGGCTGGACTTGGTTCATAACAATGTTTGCCTTTAAACAAGAGGAACTTTCGCATATAGTCACTCAAAAATAGCCTAATTACGCTCTATAGCTATAGTTTGCTAATTACGATTCGTAGCTACATGTTATAAAGAGGAGAGTGACGAGCGAGACTGGGAGAGGGAGGAGAGAGGGTAGAGAGTGGGATATAGATGAATTGTATATGTATATCGGTTAGATAATTGTATATTATACATATGTATTTGTATATTCTAGCGAGCGAGATTGGGAGAGGGAGGAGAGAGGCGAGCGAGAGAGGGCAATAATTTGTATAATTCACACCTCGTTTGATTAATTCACAGGTACGTTTGTATAATTCATGTGTTTTTGTATAATTGAGTAATACAAAGTGTGGAATTATACAAATATATATGATAAAACTCGAAATAAAGAATTGATACAAACATCAACATATGAACTTTAAACAATTATACAAAATATATTATACAAATTACATTATATAAATGATATTATAAAAAATCCGAAAACTACACGTTTATACAAACTTTAAAAGGTTATACACAAAATTATTGAATGTATATGATGACAAAACTGAAAAACCAAAGGAAATCATCGTCATATACAAATACAAACTATCGTATACAAATACAACTCAAACGAAGAATTGTTAGTTGTGAATTATACAAATGTGGCGAATTATACAAATATGACTAATTATACAAACTCGAAGTCAGCCCACGTAATTAATGGTTAATGTTAGTCGCGAGTGATAATTATAGCAAACTATAGCTATGATGAGTAATTAAGTAGTATAAGTTTGCATAACCGCTTAGTTTTCCCTTAAAAAAATCAAAAAACTGAAGAATCTATCTTTGAATTTACATCAAATATTAATTAGTTTGATCCTCCTAAGTCCTAATCAAACCAAACAAAATGATTAAAATAAAAGAAGTATATATAATATATACATTATAATTTAATATATTTTTATTTTTAAATATATAAGATATATGTTATGGCCCTTAATTTGTGAATATAAATGAGGGAACATGAGAATTTTGCACTTCTATTTTGTAGTGATCCTGTCTCCAGAAGCTTACTCTTATATGAAGACAAGAATTATTATTAGTATCTAAATGTGATGTAGAATTAGGATGCGTTTGGTAAGGAGCAATTTTTGAATTTTTTTCAGCTATCTGATTTTGTGCATTCTTAATAGCCACATTTTAGGGCGGTCTTTTTGTCGACAAATGTTTTTATTGATTCGTAGTTTTTGAAAGATGAGAATCAATTAGGTTAGCATTTACATCGAAAATTTAAATATTATATATATGTTTGATCCTTTGTAGAAATTATTCATAATAACGAGCTTGTAAAATGAATCTATTATCATAAAAAGATCCGTCATTCTTGACCCTACTTCACCTTAATTGTTTTATTTAAATAAGTAATAGTTCTAAGTTTGATAAATGAAAATTTTTAAAAATCATTTTTTTTGGGAAAAACAGTTCTTTAAAGATAAAGGATATGACTTTTCTAATTAGAAATAGGGAAAAAATATAATTCGTATGTGTCCATTCCATTCTGAATCTTCTAATACTTACCCTCCAACACACAACTAATCCCTACCACCACTCTTTTGGTGGTTTTGTGCCTACTCGAAAATATTTGTTTAAATTATATATAAATATTTTTAAAAAAATATTACACATTTGTTGGTTTTGTGGCCGATAATATTTGTTTAAATTATATAAATATTTTTTTAAAAATATTTTCCATTTAGTGTGTCAAACACACCCTTAGTATTGTTCTTATACACGTGGAGGAATGAGAAACAAACAGCACCATGTTAAATCATGTTCTCGAGCCTTGCATTGGAATAAATATATTTTTTTGTTTTTAATTAAAAGAATTTGAGTTATGTGATTTTCTTTTTTTTTTAAAACCGAATAATAATTGCCATCCTTTTTATCGTAGAAATATAAGTTAATCAAAACTTCAATACGAATATAAAATCTTGAATGAAAGTAAATTAAAAAATTATGAGGTTATGATTCAAAAGACAGATAAGTATGTTAGAAGTTTAGATGAGAATCCACCAGCTTGCTTTTCTTGGTTAACAAAAAAATATACATATGTTACATTCTTACAAGAAAACCAAAATAATTTACTCATTATATTTATTTTAGAACATAAAAAGCAGAAAGTAATTCTCTAATTATTTTTTGATATCACACAAAACTAATTTAGAAATTGTGGGAGTTTATATTAATTACAAAAAAGGAAATTAAAAACTTTAAAAAGGATGAAAATGACATTAATTAAGATTGGGACAACTTCTTTTTTTCTTTTTAAATCAAGAAGATACCTTGCAATATTCCCTTGTCATCTCATTAAAGACATAATAAAAACACGGTATATATTCCTTACTTTTTTTTTCTTTTCAAATCATTATGTTTCTTGCCTTAAAAATAATAAAATAATTATTGAATGATTATGATGAAATGAATATAATTTGTTATATTTAATTAGAAATTTGGATTTACGAGTTTTATTTATTAATGAATAACCTTTCGATACAAAAAAAAAAATGTTTTCTTAGTTTTTTAACGAGTTTTAAAATAAATTTTGAATATGGAGTAAAATTTTGAGTGAGAAATCAAGAAAAACAAAATCAAAATATTACATTTCTTATAGTCTTTATACTACCTGTAGTACATATACTGAGTATTAATTACACAAATTAGGAGTATCAGTTATCTCTCTTAAATATTTCATTTTAATTACTCTTTTTGTCCTAATTTATGTGATACATTTTGAATTTTGAAATTTAAATAAGTCTATTTTTTACCGTAAAATTTCATATATCTTTTAAATATTTTAAATTGTTATTTATTATTACTTATAATACTTTTTATGTAATTTATAAATATATCAATTTCATTTTTAAAAAAATTGAAGATTTCATAAATAAATTTCGCTCAAACTTAAATTGTTTGACTATAAAAAATAAGGGTATCATCACTTAAATAATCAGCAGTAATGCCCCCAGAATTGTAAAATTCATATATCGAATCAATTAACAAAGACAAAATTATCTCTTTTCCCTTTTTTTAATTATTAATTAAGAAACATAAAGGTCTTCCACCTTCTAGGTCCTTCAAGAACTTCTTCTCTTTTGGATTACGTATTAGAAATCCAAACCCACAGATTAATATAAATACAGAAACACCACAAAACTAACATATATACACAGAGAGAGAAAAAAAATCAAAGAGAGATTTTTTTTTTTTTTATATATAAAAAAAATGGGGAAAGCACGTATAATAGGAATTGGAATGGATTATTCAGCAACAAGCAAAATAGCTCTAAAATGGGCAATTGATAATTTAATTGAAGAAGGTGATACAATTATTATTATTCATGTTGTTTCTTCTAAAGTTGAACCAACTAGTAAACAACTCTTTGAAGATACAGGATCACGTAAGTCTTTTTTCTTTTTTTGTTTATTTCATTTTAATCAATTATTTTCGAGTGGAGGATCTATCAAAAACAGTTTCTCTTGTATATACATCAGCTTTTTCAGATTTCACCTATGTTGTTGTTTGTTGTAGTTAAATTAATTTTTGTCAATCTCTCTACTTTCACAAGGTTGTGTAGATTTTTCGGATTTTATTTATGAGATTATACTGGTTATGTTGTTCATTTTAATTAATTAAACATATCTATTGATGATTTTTTTGATTTTTTTGTTTGTTTAATGCAGCTTTGATACCTTTGGATGAATTTAAACAGATTAATGTGTCTAAGTATTATGGATTAAATCCTGATAAAGAGGTTATTGATATGCTTGAGCCTGTTGCCAAACTCAAAAAGGTAATTAATAATAATTTACTCTTCTTATTTCTTGTTCTTCTTTTTGCTCTTTCGACAATTTGATGCATAAAATATTTTATTTTGCGTTCACACATAGAATTAAAGAGTGTGATGTACTAAAATATTAGTAGTAGTTTCTCTTGCTCTTTGCTTCTAACTCTTTGGTGATGATTTAATCTAACGACACGTGTCCTTTTGAACTTTCATTTGATTTTTTTTTACAAAAATGTCTTTTTTAATTTTTACCCTTTATTTTAAGGAGCTCGAATTAATAACTGAAAAATTAAGCTTGTTCTTGACAGATTTGATCGGATGTGTTCATAATCTGGAGTAAAAGAATTCGATTTTTTTTTTTGCATACTTTGTTATTGAAATTTGATTTTTATTGAATTATTTATTTATTTCATCTGAAAGTTTAAACCGTCAAGAAAATATATTTTATTTATTTATTCTTTGATGAATCGAATACCTGATTTTTTTACTTTTTCTTTTGTAGTAAGAAAAATAAGTATTGTTTAATTAATAATTTGTGGGATAAAAAACCAGGTGACAGTGGTGTCAAAGGTGTATTGGGGAGATGCAAGAGAGAAACTTTGTGATGCTGCTGAAAGTCTCAAACTTGATTCACTTGTAATTGGAGGCAGAGGCTTAGGAGTTCTTAAAAGGTAAACACAAAGTATAAATTTAGATGATCAAAATGAACTGAGTTAATAAACGAAATAATAAACTCAAAATGGGAGAGTAAATGTTACTTGTACTGAAATGAGTGGGTGAAATGTTACTTATTAAGTTTTAATTTTTTTAAAAACATTATGTGGGGTTAATTTGTAACTGTTTAATATTTGCAGGGTGTTACTTGGAAGTGTGAGTAACTATGTGGTGCAAAATGCAACATGTCCTGTCACTGTTGTGAAAACCAGTCCTCAAAAGTGAAAAAAAAAAAGACACTAAAGTTTATGTCTTATTTTGTTTTAAAAAAAAAAGAGCTACTTTGTATTTTTACTTTCTTTCGTTTTTGTATAGTATTTTGTTTGGGATTTTATTTATTTGATTTCTTAGGGTATGAGTTGGCTTTTGTTTGAGAGTGCTGGATGTGAGATGATTGTGGGACTTTGTTATATTTCAAGTTTATCATCTTATATATATTTGTTGGCTTCTTGTTTGTCATTTGTGAGACACTTGTCTTTGTCAAAATGCTAAATGTTTCACTTGTGAGATTGGGAAGAAAACATTGTGAAGTTTCTTGTGATAAATGTTATAATAGTTAAAAGTTTATGAGTGAGGTCTAAGTACAACATTTATCGATTTAAGAAAGAGCCTATCAAAATAGGTTTAACAAAATATTTATATTCCAATCCCCTAAACCTGACCAATAATTTTACAATTCCATGCTTTTAAAGATGTTAGTAGTAATGATTTTTCAACAGTAATTTTATTTTCATCTATTTCAATTAAGCTTGGGGAACATGTTTATCTAAGAAAGCCTGGGCCAAATTACTGAAGGTTGTACTAACTTCACTTGCAGCAGCATAACTCTTTATTGCATCGATTACTTCTGGCTTTAAGATCTCTTCTTTGTTTGATGCATTGCAAAGACAATACAAAGTTCCTAGAGCATAAATTACCTGAAAAATCGAACTTCATATCATTACAAGTGGGGGTTTGAGGGGGGTGTATGCAATCTTGATCCTACTTATAAAAGGTAGAGAGGTTACACTATCTATCAATTAAACATATATCAAACAAAACAAGTAGAACGTAAAGAATACCTGTAGCAACAACGATCAATATGAAAATCGAAGGAAAGAAAATATTTTCACTGATGAGGGAAATTAAACAACAGGAGTGACTACCTACTAATCTTCTAACCTAATCCTGACCTCCATATCTCCTTATTGTTATCTCCTGTATTCAGGTTAGTAAAAAATACAGAAACAGAAAAAAGATGAAATTGACAGAATGATTTTTAATCCGAGTCCACAGAAACCACTGTGTTTCCTTAAGAAATTTAATCCCCTCACTGTACCCGAGGTTGCAGATTAATTCCTCCCAAGATAAAACGGATTAACCTGTTAAAGAAGTAGCGGTACCTCAAACTTCAATAACTTCAGCGAATGCAAGAACAGCAACAAGAGCACACACAGACTTAGTCGATCGACAATTTTATTTATGTAAGAAAATGTATGCAGAGAGGGAAAATTTCAGTGTTTGAAAAAACAAAAAAGACCTTTTATTTATAGCCATTTTGCAGCAAGGAACGCGTCTGTTCAGAAAATCTGTTCAGACCCATTTTTTTCCAGAACATTGTGTCCTTTGGGAAAAGTAACGACTTTTCGGAAGGAATACCGTTTGGGAAAAGTAACGACTTTTTGGAAGGATTACCGTTACAACGTGAATTTCAAATAAATTCAGTTGCGCCAAATTAATTTTGTTATTTAATTAACATTCTGAATTAATTTATAAGAGAAAGGAAATGATTTAACAAGATTGATTAAATAAATTTTGTCCAAAAATATTATCAATCAATCACATCATTTGCCAAATCCAAATCCAAATCCGAAGCCGAAGCCGAGGCCGAGCGAGCGACGACGACGGCGCGAGGGGGTACCTTATCATTTGCCAAATCCAAATCCAAATCCAAATTCGAAGCCGAAGCCGAAGCCGAAGCCGAAGCCGAGGCCGAGGCCGAGGCCGAGCGAGCGACGACGACGGCGCGAGGGGGTACCTTCTTCTTAACCCTTTAAGAACTAAAAGAAGTGTTTCCTAATATAAGGACAACAATTTCCTTTCTTCTACCGATATGGTAAAAATGACCTTTCATTTGCACTTTTGCAATGATGACTTTTCATTTTCCCTCCAAAATTGGTTCCCCCTTTTTCATTGGTTCTTCCACTTTCCATTTTCTCTTTTTTATTTCCCATTCACACCCTACTAAACCGAACACTTATCAGAGTCATGTTCTCCATAAGTTGTAGGTGTGTCTTGTCCTATCTAATCACCTCTCCTTAATATTGAACTTTGGGAAGTAAAAACAACCAGCACAAAAAAGAACAGTCCGAGACTAGACCAGAATACTAAAAAGATTCAAGTCTTGCTGAAGAACTAATTCCAGAAATGAGGAAACAACACCATTTTACTCGGCGTGCTGCCTAAAGTCGCAGAAAGTCACAAGACCAACTATTAACAATAAGTACATTGTATAAGCTTGTGCCTAGCTAACCCTACTCAAATTTAGTAACAAGATTGACAGATAATTGTTACTCGACGAATCAATTTACAACAGCTAGTCTGAAGTGTTCCCGCGGTATGTATATGTGCAAATTTTACCATGTGAAGATCAAAGCTCTCAATAAACTAGCAAAACCACAAAATGTTTGTTAATGTGCTTACAGTGCTCCTAACAGGACTTGACAAACACTGGACGATGAGGGGGATACCATCATTTTGAGTGACAAGAGCAGCATTTGCTGGATCTGCAAGTCACAAATGCATCAACTGATATGGAGAAGAGCTAATTCTTGGAGCAGTTTATTACAAAAAACTTTTATCTTACCAGCACACGCATTGCAGATTCCTCCGATCCCAAATTCCACGAGCTTCTCATTAGGCTCAGTTAAACAGTCGAGGAAAAGTTCTATTACATTAAGCTGTTTAACATCACAAGATATGTTTGGGCAAGAAACCAGGAAAATTCGATGATTACAATACTCATTAGGAAGTTTCTTAACTTGACGCAAGAAGGTAAAGTTGTAAGGATCATATGCAAAGTTGGCCAAATTAGCAACAATCTTCTCTTTTGTCTCTGTAATAACAAGAATATACCAGCACAACCTATATTGCTCGGACTTTCCAAAAAAGTTGCAGAGAACTCTAAGCATACCTTCAGAAGATGCATTCTGAAACTGAGTTACCAATTCCTGAAACAAGAATGTAAGTATTGATTATTGAAATACGAAACCAAGTTTTTTGCTTATCCAAATTCCATGTACAACTAATGTTCGCTTAACTTCAGCAGATAAAGTTTTGTTATTCCAATCTTCTTTCTATCAACTATATCGAGTAAGGAGGACTAACCTGAAGGTATTCCACCCTCGAAGTTCCATATTTTCCAGTGCGTTCTTCTTGCCTTTGGCTATTCGTGAATATGTGAATGCAACTATGGTAGAGAAAGAGATCAGAATGCAGTAACAATGTAACTCTGCACCCTGCAAACAGAACGTGCACCATTCAAGTCTATTTCATTTAAATACCAAATAATTCATCTAGAGCGGAAATTTTGTTTAAATCTCACACTTTTCTGTACACAAGTAACTCTGTGTGTGTGGGGGGCCGCGGGGGGGGGGGGGGGACAAGCACGAATAAAGTGGTGCAAGACAAGATTGCAGCGGAAGAATACCCAAGTTTAAATCTTTCACTCTATTTTAACCAAAAGGATACTAATGAGACTTCATCAGAGTAGTTGGTTGTTAAGTAGTTAAAAGATGGTTAGGATGATTAAGAGTAGTATAGTTTTTTCTCTTAAAAGTTGTTATAACTAATTCTTTCAATAGTTAGTTACATAAACAACTATAAATACATGTTCATGTCATTGTACAAGTTAGCCTCTTGAGCTCATAAATTGAATTCTTCTTTCTTCTCTTCTAGTAGCTTCTGTAAATCGTGTCTACGTTCATGGTATCAGAGCCATACACAGTGACAAGCTGTGATAGGCGTTTTAGGTTGAAGAATCAGAGAGTTGCTTTGTCAATTCACAGATTCGAATCAGAGAGTTGCTTTATCAATTCACAGATTCATCAGATTCTCAGTTGATCTGCAGATTGGAGTTCATTTCTGTTATTAACTGAGTTTGATTCTTATTCCGCAACAAGTTTGATTACTATGTCTCCAGATCGAGTAGCTGAAGAACTAAATCAAGGTATCAACAATGGAGAAATTATTGGTTCTGGTTTCTTCGCTTTGCCCTCTAATACAGTCTCATCATCTCAAGGTATTGATTACAATCATCCTTTGTTTCTTAGTTCTACTGATGTGAGTGGTGTTAGCCTTATCTCTTTTCAATTACTTGGCATTGAGAATTATACATTGTGGAATCGATCTATTACACTAGCTCTATTGGGAAGAAATAAAATAGGATTGGTAGATGGATCCTGTAGGAAGGAAGTTTATAATGAAGAACTGTGGGGGCAATGGGAGAGGGTAAATGCCATTGCATTGTCTTGGTTAATGAACTCAGTCTCTAAGAGTCTTCTTAGTGGTGTTGTTTTTGCTTCGAGTGCTTTGCAAGTTTGGAATGACTTGAAAGAGAGATTTGATAGAGTAGATGGTTCTAGAACATATAGTCTTCACAAAGACATTGTAACATTGCAACAAGGTACTAATTCAGTTTCTGAGTATTATACAAGACTTAAAACTTTGTGGGATGAGTCTGAACTTTTAGTGCCTGCACCTTGTTGCAACTGTGATAAATCAAAAGGATTTGTGGCTCATATGAATAGGCAGAAGTTGTATCAGTTTTTGATGGGGTTAAATGAGTCCTTTCAACAAGCCGGAAGTCAGATTCTGATGCTAAATCCTCTACCTACTATTAATCATGCTTATGCTATGATAGTAGGAGATGAAAGCCAAAAAGCAGTGATGTCTCACAGCAATAGCATGGGAATGAACACAGTTAGTGCTGACTCTGTGGCTATGTATTCTAAATCTGCATCTACCTCAGGTGTAAATCAGAGATTCAAGAGGAACTCAGTCTTGATTTGTGACTTTTGTAAGTGTAAAGGTCATAGCAAGGAGTATTGCTACAAGATCGTAGGGTATCCACCTGACTTCAAGTCAAAAAGGAAACCACAAGGTACTGCATCAGATGGCACTCCTGATCAGGTTCACTTCTCCTATGGTATGAATACGAATGTGCAGGTACCGGGATGGGGAAGAGAAACTGATAGCTCTCAGAGTGCTCATGGTGTACCAGGTCCTTCCAATTCTTCTAAGTTGCTGAGTCAAGCTTAACATGATGTGAAGCAGTTGTTGAAGGGTTGCACTTTCACAAAGGATCAATATGATCACATTCTCAAAGGTTTTCAGCATAAGACAGACATTGCCTCATTGGATTGTAATGCTACACCTGCTGCTGCTCACACTGCAGGTAAATTATTACATGTTCCTGATATTAACAGAGTGTGGATTGTAGATACTGGTGCTACTAACCATATGATATCTGATTTAGATATGTTTATCAAAGGCACTGTTTCGAAATTAGAGGTTCCTAAGGTTGTGTACTTACTGTTTTATTTGGAAAATGTATTTTAGACTGGTTTAGAGTCGCCACTTAATTTTAAAGCAAAATTAAGAAAACTGTTGTTTTCAAAAGACTAAAACAGAACTCTAGTGAAAACTTTAAAAAGGGTTCGAGGTTCTTATTAACAGTCTAGGAAGGTTTTAAAAGCACCTAGAATGTCCACTAATGTGGTTATCTGACAATTAATTATTTGGCTAAAATAATTTTAACTTAACTCATCTTGCAAAATTGAACTATTTTGTAGTCGAAACTATTTTAAAGGGGAAAAAGAAAAATGTTGAAATACTATCATCTAAGTGAGGTATTTTCCTTGCAAAAATTCTTTAAGTCCTTTTAAAGGTGATCGATTTGGTAAAGTTGTTAAAACAAAATAAGCGTCTTTCGGGGATTTGAATTTTTTAACCTTAAGATTAATAACGGATATTAGCAAATAAACAAACACAAAAAGATAAGGAGGGGAAGAGACTTGGAGGCCCAAGTCTGGTTTATGTTCGCCTGGGCCAGCACTTGGGCCTATTTTCGTTTTTTGGGCCTTCGGCCCAATTCTTGCCTGTTCTTTGCACCTGTCCTAGACTAACGAGGAAAATATAATAATAAAGTTTTCTTTGGGCCTTAGGCCCAATCTTGCACCTGTCCTAAATTCTAACAAACAATAAGGGATGAAACGACAAGAGCTTAGGCCCAAAATAACAAAATACAAATTTGAATTTTGGGCCCTGTAGGCCCATTTTCCCATCTTCGTATACACTAGGCGTATACTAGTGCATACAATCCTGTATCAGCTCCGAACCTTGCATCTTTTGTTTCCGAACACCTGTACGTTGACTTTCGGAAATCTGTTCTTCGATCCTCTAGTTGGCTGACTCGATGAGGGACAAAATATTGGGTTGGACCCCAACTTGAAATGCAGGAGGATGAAATAGAGTCCATAGGACTCATATATTAAAATTCTATGCAAGAAAGGATAAAGAGAAAAAAGTAAAATAAAATTAGCACAACACATATCAAGTTAAAATAATTAGACAAAGTAATGACTCAATATCAGACTAACACTATAAAAGAATAACACGACTAAGTACAACTTGGGAATTTAAACCAGATTAACACTTAACCACTTAACCAAAGACTAATTACCGCTCATTCCGGATAGCCAAAAGGTTTTGCAAATGATGGGTCTTGAATCACGATTTGTTAAACAATACAGTCACCAAGAACAAATAGATAGGATAATTAATCTAACAGATTTTCGACTATTAGCAAATACTACCTATTAAAAATGAGACCACGTAAATAGACCAACAAGGCTAGATATTATGAAATACTTCATACAGTGACAAGTTTAAACTGAAATAGGGAAGTGAGGAGTAATTCACTGCTTCATATATTATTTAAATTGATAGGTATGCCAACAGTAATACTCTCCAGAGCAAACAAAATTCACTTTAATAAACCAAGAATAAGTCGGACAAACATATAACAACAAGAAAATAAAAATAAATAATTAATAAAAAAAAGACAAAGTAAGAAAAAAAAGGAAGTGGTCAAGCAAAATTGATGAATACAAAATAAACAACACTATTCTGAAATATCGAAAGAGGCTGCTTAGCTTTTAGGGAGCAACGTATTTGACGGAATACCATTTCACTATAAGTTGCACTCAAAACAATACAAAGAGTCAACTTACGAATTCCCCGCCTAAGCTATTTAACTCGAACAGACAACATGGATCAAAGAGGAAACCAAGAGGATGGCCAAGACTAATCAAGGCAACAAACGACGATTCATATTTGAGCACGTCAAACATCAACCTATGAGATTAAAACAATTTAAGGCATTGAAAATGTGAGCAAAATTGCCAGATCTATATCAACATGATCGAACTTACCTAAGTAACTAAAACAGACCACGAAACAAGAACTAAGCGGGATGGCAATCAATAGTCGATAAGAGAGACGAATGAACCACACCATTTAAAACATGTAAAGAGGTCTCGTATTCATGTTAAGAACACAAAATTAAGAGTGAATCAAAGTACTTTAAAGTCTGACAGAAAATTTCACATTAAACTAACCATTTCGAATCTTAACAGCTAACTCCAGAGAAGATAATAAGACTGAAAACTAAACCTCACATAGCAAAAATTGGACTCAAACCATACCAAACAAGCAAGATGAAGAGTCAAATAAGAGAAGCAAGAGCTCAAATAAAAAACTTAGCCGCATTTAGAGTATTTCGCTAATATTCAACCATATTCAATACTATATCAAGAACATGTAACAAGCTGATAACGAAATTGATTCCAAATAAAGACCTTTAGGACAGAAAACAAAACAGAACACGCCTCATTCGAAAAAGAAACTGAGAAATAATAATAAAAATGTTACCTTTTTCGGTGCAGCGAGATGAGACGAAAACGAGCAGGGGAATGACGACGATTTTCACCACATAATCGGAATAGCAGGCGAAAAACTTAATTTTCCCTTTTTCGAATGTATGTATTTTGTGACTAACTTTTGAACTATTCTCTCTGCCTTCTTAATATATTTAGTATGTGTTTTGCCTACCCTTGCTCAAGTCGTTCTTTGTATTTTCGCCCAAAAAAAAAATCCCCCCATACCAAAAAGAACAAGAATATTTATAGAAGGAGATTAGGGTTCACGTTTTTGGGGGAAAAAATGATAGAATTCGGATAGGAGTGAGAGCCCAAATCCAAATTCAAAAACCCAATTTCTTTCACCAATTAAGGGAAACATACTTTCTCTAAAAAATTACCCCATTCCGGAAGAGGAAAGGGGGTAAAACGCGTGTTCTGTCCTGCATGTCTGTTCGTACAAATTTGAAAGCGACATCGAGGAAGACGACAATGTAGGTGCATCGTACTGCCTTTGCGTGTTGACTTACGCGTCTGAAATCACGTCGTGAACTCGACGTATATAGCCACTGCTTTCCGTTTGCTCGCTGTGAGTGGCTCTTCG